CTAGGGTTCCCTTTGGGGTTTTGAATCTAGGGTTTCTAGGGCATTCGAGGCATGGGGCACTTGGAATGTTAGGCTAGTGTCTTGAGGTGTGATTTAGAATAACAACAACATCAAGCCTTTATCCCACTTCGTGGGGTCGGCTATATGAATCTTTTTTCTTCATTGTGTCCTATTAAAAGTCAAATACTCCTTTAAATCTAGTAAAAAAAGATCATTCCTAATATTTTCTAACCAATTCTTTTTAGGTCTGCCTCTATCTTTCTTAATACAAGTCAAATCTAATACCTCTACTCTCCTAACCGGGTCATCGGAAGGCCACCGTTTTATGTGACCAAACCATCTAAGGAGACTCTTTCTAATCTTATCTTCTATTGGAGCTACTCCAACCTTTACACATATATGCTCATTTCGTACCCTATCTATAAGGGTAAAGCCACTCATCCACCTGAGCATCCTTATCTCTGCCACACTTAACTTAGTATTATGCTTCTCTTTTAATGGCCAACATTCGACACTATAAAGCATTGCAGGCCTCACCACCATCTTATAGAATTTTCCCTTGAGTTTGAGGTGTACTTTTCTATCACACAACAAGCCCGATGCATTCCTCCACTTCAATCATCCAACTTGAATTTTGCTAATAATATCCCCATCTATTTCACCATGGCTTTGAACACTATATCCAAGATATCTAAAACGTGTACTCTTATTAATGACTTGATAGCCCAAAGTCAAAATCCCTTCACTAGGTCTATTACTACTAAAATTACAATCCATATATTCTGTTTTAGATCTACTCAAGCAAAAACCTTTAGCCTCTAAGGTTGACCTTCATAATTCATGTTTACCTTCAACTCCCTCTCTAGTTTTATCAACAAGAAGAATATCATTTGCAAAAAGCATACACCAAGGTACATCTTCTTGCAAATGTCTAGTGAGAACATCCATGACTAAAGCAAAAAGATATGAGCTTAAGGCTGATCCTTGATGTAACCCAACCGAAATAGGGATTCATCTTATTATTATTCGACAAGTTTTACGCTGGCTGTCAACTACCTATCGCAACCCTCCACTTTTCTCATCCAAGACTTGGGACCTGACAACGACAGTGTTTAAAATGTTTGGTGAAAATCCAAATGGTTTAGAGGCCAAATGATAGGGAGTGAAGTCCAAGCCAAAGCCTAGTTTGTATTGATTTGATTAGTTTTTATATATTAGTTAGTGGAGGGGATTAAGTATTGAGGGGTTGAAAAGGCTATGTAATGTTAGGGTAATGTGTGGTGGTTGGATTTAGAGCAAATGGTGGAGATCAAATGTGTTTTAGGGGTCCCTAGTTGGTTATATATTCTTGGGGATTTCTTTTTTGTGATGCTAGGAAGATGGGGGGAATATGCTATAAGAGATCGTGAGATAGATAAAAAACTTGAAGAAATATATCTTGGTGTTTCACTAAGAAGAACCCAAATAAGAGGGGCCCGGCTACTAAGCTCTCAATTCTAGAGATTTCTCTATTTATTTTTTTTCAAAGCTTCAGAATTTTCTCTTTTATTCATTCAAATAATATCTAAATTAATATATCAAATTTTAATTTTTTAAATTAAAAAATACCTAGAAAATTGGGGTGGGGAAAATATTAAAGGATAGTTGGTGAAAATAAAGGTTAGAGGGAGGAAATAAGGTTGTGGAGTACTAAAAAGTTGTTGCCTTCCATAATGGCCTTCAAACAAGGCAGGAATAATTTAATATGAGGGAAAAGTAATTGAAAGCTATCATTTGAAAGGAGAATTAATGGTTGAAGATTCAAAATTTAAAATATCTACAATTTCAATATTTTTCATATCAAACATTTTTTATTTATACATGGTGAATGGTGATGATGGCCTTCTGGCTTTTGAATCCATCATGACTTATTGATCTTGATCTTATGACTGGGCCATTGTAGCTCTTGATTTCATTTTAATTTTTTATCTTGATCTAGTGATAACACCAACTAAATTTGCTTGATGGTTTGCATCAAGTCTGTAAGAGCCATTCAAAGGTATAAAAATCACATCTTTCCTAATTAAACATCTTGATATTGAAGCTCCTCTTTTCTTTCATGGAGCTATTGATCTTTACCTTCATAGGATTACTAGGTGGCCTTTACTTGCAATTTTATGCACATGCTCCTTTTCTTTTTAACATTGTCAAGCCTTCATTTTATTGTGACGTTTTGATCAAATGGTAGGCCCTTCTAGTCCCTTAGATCAGTGATATATAAAATCCACTAGCAAATGCAGGGTGCAACAAAGAAACAACATAAAAATTCTTAAAATTCCACAAAAAAACTTTAATATTTTTCATAAAGATATTCCATCCACAAAATCACATTTCTGAATAAACAGAATCATCATCCATACAGTTTCACTTATATCATAAATATCATTACAGAGCCACTAAGAAATCCAAAACAATACACTGATAAACAATCTACATACCTTTGCTGTAGACTTACTAACACTACTACACAATAGAATATAAAGCCAAATAAGCCTGATTGTAATATGCTTCTACTTTTTCTTTGCCCTTTCGTGTGATAACAGACAATATAAAAATTGGCGAGCTATAAAGCTCATAAAGTTATGTAATTTTAATCAAAAATTAAATAAGACATTATAGTGAATAAAATAATTGAAATCATAACTGAATTAAACTCATAAAATAATAGTGAAACAACTTAGAACATATTCAGGATCATCTTTCGTTTTATTTGACGCCTATGCATAATATCAATATTGCTTATAATATGTTTTGGCTATCATTTTACATATAATTAGCTTTTATGGCTTTCATTATAATATTTAATAGAGTCTAGGTAAAACCTGATATTATTGTCATTGAACTACATTGAGGTTCCTTTTGCCTCCATTGAGGTCCCTTTTGACCCTCCTACATCGCAGGTTTTATTTCATTTCAATGTTAACTATTTTTCTAATATGATATTTATCAGGCTTCAAAGTTGATGCACTCATACTTGATTTGTCATATTTCATGCTTTATATAAGATACATCTTCTACACTGCTTGCATTAAAAGAATAAGTATGCGTTACATAAATTAGTGCTTTTTTCCTACATATTGTCAATTAGAAAAATATTTTTCTAATTATTATATATCTAATTTTAAACTTAAACTATTCAAGTTTATATATGATTATTCATACCTGAACATTTGGCTATGAATACATCCTAAGCAAAATCATTAACTTTAATGCAGAGTTTCCTTTAATTTTGTTAAATATAAATGGACATGTCCATAAATGACAGCTTTTGCTTTTTAATTTAAAATTGCATTACTTTACCTCTTTGATGAATTGCCTTCTCAAATCCGGCACCTTACACCCTTTTTCTTTTGTAAATTATTTCAAACTTCCCTGCTGCATATACTATTAAATCCTAACACAATTGATAACATTTTCTTTAGATACTTGCACCAACCTTTGAAAGTCTATACAACCACTTTAAACAACTAAATTGCTTACCTTGATTTTCTTCTTCCCTTAATTTTTCCTTCTCCTTTTACTCTGCTTCTTACTCCACCTATCAATGTGGTTTTTTACTTGTATTTGAGTATTAATAAAAAGGTCAAAAGATTTGAGAGTGCTCTATTTTGATATAAAGCTCTCTTGTAAATTTGAAGTTCTTTATTTGAGTTCTCTCATTCTACCATAATAATATGTAGATAGATATTTCTAAAATATTCTTTATATAATATATCTCCAAAACAAGCACTAGCAAGGATTGTTTATTTGTGGTCCATGACTCCATGGGAAATTACTGGATAATTTTCCCCCTCTTTTCTATTCAAACTAAACTTGTACACCATAATCAGTGGAGAATTAAATTAAGAAAGTCTTCCACTTATTTCTATTGTCTTGGTCCTTTAAGGTATTCCTGGAATATCCATGCCTTCTATTGTCATATAGTACTCATAAGGCACTTATTCATTTTACATATAGATTTAGATCTATAACTAGTGTCATATGTTCCGTATTTTCTTAGAATAGCTAAAAGATTTATAAACCCATCACAATTGAGTATTTTCTTAATCATTTAAAAATATTTATGGACAGTTATTACTTACATATCATGAAAATTGGATATTATGTATTAATTTTTGTTCGAACAATCCTACAGTTCTTATCTTTTGTAAATATCTTTGAATACCTACTTCAACATACTTTGGATGTACTCACTATCAAAACTAGATTTTTTGTTAATAAGATTTTGCCTCATGCTGAATATTTATATAAGCATTTTTTATAGCTGGCACAACTAATGCAAATTGAATGCATCATTGAAAGAATCTGCCTATAATTGGTAACTTGTTGGTTACCTTATCTATATCTAATTCTAGTCACCACTTTATCATACATAGCTTTAATAGTTTTTCTACCATTGAAAAACCTCTTCTCTTTTTATGATCCATTATATCAATTCTTGTCAGACTTGATCATGTGATTTTTTTTTAAAGATCAATAAGCAACAGATAAATATTTATTTTGTTCATTAATCTCCTTGACAGACAAGTTTCCTCCATAGAAGTTTTTTGGGTATTGGTTCTTTTCTATAAACATTTTGTTTCTTTATATTGGGCTCTTCGTGATAACCCTCGAGATCTAATCATGTTTTTGGCTATACTCTTTTATATTCTTTCTTGGATATAGATTAGGTTGGGGTTTGTTTTCAGCTAGAAATGGCTCTTCGTTTGTGAAGATAATCATAAAACGAGCTAATAGTAATTTCATTGTAAACAAATGACGCTACAAACAGTATAGCATGACTGCATGTAAATAATGAATCTTGTCCTCTTTCTCGTTCAGAAAACGCTATTTATTTAATACCAGGGAGCTAAATAGAAAATTGTACTATCAAATAGAGCTTTTGTTGAACCCTCGAGATCTCACTTTGTTACTTCTCATATTACTAATTAAGTTGTATATGTTGTCTCAATTGATTGCAGATCTTCCGGTAGATCAATGCTGCATAAGAGATCAAAAGTAGAATTTCATCCCTTAGGTGTGATTGGAGCAATTATTTCTTGGAATTATCCATTTCACAACATTTTCAATCCAATGCTAGCTGCTGTTTTCTCAGGAAATGGTGTGGTGATAAAGGTATAATACTTGAATATCATGCAAAAAAAAAAAGCACATGGTTTCCTCGAAGTTGTGTATGGATGGTTAAAGTTTTCTATCGCCAATCTTATGTCCTCTTGATTTTCTTTCTTCTGTCTTTTCATTCATATCAAAACCTAATGCTTTGAATCTTGCTAGGCTAGTGCTTTGAATCTTGTTAGGCTTTTGTTAGGGGCATGCTCCTTGTGCAGGTTGGTTTTGGGTTTGAGAGTTTCAGTAAGGAATACAAGTAGGGATGTAAGTGAGCCGAGCCGGCTCGATCTCAACTCGCTTATGGACTCGCGAGACGAGCTCATGAGTCAAGCTCCAGCTGAAAGTCGAGCTCATTTAAACGAGCTTGAGTTCGAGCTTGATGAGGCTCGACTTGTGTGCTCGCGAGCCACCTCGAATAATTATTAATATTTTTAAAATAATTTTATTTTATTTATTTAATTTATTTTATTTTCTTTCTTCTGCCGTTGCCAGGTCCCAAGTCCTGGATGAGAAAAGTGGAGGGTTGCGTTAGGTAGTCGACAGCCAGCGTAAAACTTGTCGAACAATAATGACATGAATCCTTTAAGAAATTGTGTTAATGCTAGGGCGTCCCCTGGAAGCGACGCGCTAAAAAATAATATTAGATGCTAAACATATTTATTAAATTTTAAATTTTTTAAATCCCGCATAAATTTTAAAAAATCCTGCCATGGCTTGTGAGCTAGCTCGAGCTCGTTTACTGTGGGATGTGCTCGAGTTCGAGCTCGCCTTTTGAGTTCGACTTGATAAGGTCACTACTCGGCTCTTTTACACCCCTAATACAAGTGCATAAATTCTTATGACACAATTTATTTTGTCAAATTAATCATTGCATTAATTAATCATCGGTATAAAATGCAAAAGAGCATAGTCACAATTATTATTATTTTATTATAAGCCAATTGTTAGTTTATGAGATGACAACCTAGCTCTCAGGCTGCGATGGCATACTAGCACATAAATTTTGGAACCCCTCTAAGAGTGCTCATACTATAATTTAGTTGGATGCAAATACCTTGAGCTTGTTTTGGGAATGCTTTTTGGCATTCTTTCTTTTCAAATCTTCACATATCAGTATTTCAGTTTAGTGGGGAGCATGCAAACGAAAGTATTATAATTCGCAAGTACTCGGCTTGTCAACCATGAGCAAAACACTTTTAGAGTTGATTATCCATCTCTGTTGGGTAGCTAATGACTTTATTTCGAATAATATAACATATTACAGCAACAAGAAAATTACAGAATTAAGACTTGCACATACCTTCAACTAGTTTCATTTGCCTAACTCCCACTAAAATCAAGCATCTGTTTTTCTCTAACCTACCGTCGTGAATCTGCACAGTTGTTTCTAAATTGAATTACTTTTCTTTTCAACTTTCTCAATTAGAGTTTGTTTAGATATTGTTCTTTCAGTTTACTTAGAATTTATCTTTATATTGTTGGTCTTGTTAATGATTTCAACACACCCGTCATCTCCGAGTTTAATACGATGGCCATGTTCAGGCTGAGTAGAGAAGGAAAGTGAGGCCATTTACCTCCAGTCTTCTCCTGTCAAAAAGTGCCCAATGTGGCCAATGCAAATCTTTCTTGCTCTCTCTTGCGGAGAGCTTTCAAGTTATGCTAGAGTTTGCTTCCCGTTATGTCTCCTTTTTGTTGCATATTTAAAACTTCGATCTCTATGGTAAATGCTTATTCCATTTGATTCTGGAATTAGCAATATTCCATTTTATTCTTGAACTAACAATAGGGCATACCAACAACTCTACATGTTAGAATCATCCAGCCAGGGTACAGGTGCCAATACACTAGTTATCAGCAAATGTGGTTTGATTTGGTTGAAGCCATTGGTTTTTTTCATAATATATTTGGTTCAAGCTTCTTTCTGTATAGCTCATAAAATGGCATCCAAAAGAAAGCTTGCTTGCATGTTATTAATATTAAATCAAAGATCAGATTGGAATTCTCATCCGGGCTTGTAATTGAGGGATTTGTAAGCAGAGAACTGTAAGCTTATTGGCCATTTTTATCCTATTAAGGTCAAGTCAGATATTCTTTATTGTCAGGCTGAGTCTATGAAGGTAAATGAAAGAGTCTTGTGCGTGATCCACAAAGTTGTAAAATTGTATTGATAATGATAGATTGGTTCACGTTAGATGCAAATTTAATGAACCCATTCATAGAATGGTCACATGCTTCTGGTCATATCATACCCTATTCACATGTATCACTATCTTCTATGATGCACAGATACTTTTGTTGACCCTCATGTCATACCCAAAGGAACAAAAGGAAGAAGAAAGCAAAGTAAAAATCCAACGTATACATCTCATAACCGTTGGATCCATGAAACATGCCGAACTTCTCCAGGAATTCCACTCAAATCCCGCTGATTCCCTGCTGATTCGGCGCCGTTTGCGATCAGATCCCGTAAGTCGCGTGAAATCGCCTCGATCAAGCCTCCCTCAGCGTCGTTAAATACCGAATGAAGCCAAGGCTTTCGTTCGCTGCTTCCACACGACTCTCCCTCTCAACTCCAAACCGAAGCCATCATCTTCCACTCGAGCAGCCATCGCCAAAGCCAGTCCCTCCTCCGATCTCCGTCCAGCCCCGATTTCCTGTCCCGATCTCCAGGATGACGTCAGACCTCCTCCTCCCTTCGCCTATGCTTGCGTGAAAACTCCTCAAGCCGCACTAAGCCCGACCTCTCCCTCACTTAAGCCAACCCCAATCCTCTGCCCTAGCTCCCGCAGTTGCCTCCCAATCCTCACACAGAGAGAGAGAGAGAGAGAGAGAGAGAGACCTACCTCATTCGACGACTTTCCCTGCTGGTCCGATCGGAAGTAGCAATAGGAGCTCGTTGGCTGTGAAGGTAGCCGGCTACCTTTCACGTGCTTCTTGCAACCAAATCCTGTCCCAAACAGCCCTTTTGGGCATATTTTTTTTATATATATTAATAATATTATTATTATTACTATATTGAATTAAATTAATTATAATTAAATATTTAATTATATTTGATTATTATTATTAATAATTAATTTCAATTAAAATAAATTCTAATTAATTTTTATCATTATTATGGTTAATTATTATTATTAATAAATTACTAAAAATTAATTATGATTAGTTATTTTTATTAAAATTAATTATTAATCATTATAATTAATTATGATTAATTATTTATTATAATTAGTTATTTTTTTAAAAATTATAATTCTTTTTTTTAAATTATTATTATAACTAATTGTGATTAAAAATAAAATAAAATTCCCTTTCCTCCCTTACCTCGATGTTCGTGTCGGACCGATAAACAGCCCCAAGCACGCCTTTAGTGCGTGTGGTGGGATGGGACCCCGGTGCGACACCTACAACGAGGTAGGCGAGTGCCCCTCGATCCACGTGCCAACACCGACTACCCCGCGAAGGTACGAATTCTTCTAAACTCAAAACTCTACTTTAATGTTTGTGGCGAACCGAAAAACTGCCCCAAGCACGTCTTTGGTGCGCGTGGTGGGATGGGACCCCGGTGCGGCACCTACGGCGAGGCGGGGTCGCTCATAAGTACCTCCGAGCGGGGGAAAATCAAAATTGCTTTTCAAATAAAAATGCTTATTAAAACCCTATGCATGCCTTTATTGTGCGTGGTGGGAGAAAAACAAAAAAATTACCGCCGCGGTGTCTCACAAACACCAACCGTGCACGTCTTTATTGACGTGGAGGGTAGGCGGCCTCTTGGTTTTTCTCCCAAACGGGGGAGACGTCGGGAGGCTGCTGAATTTTTGTCTGAAATACAGACAAGGACTTGGAGCAGATTGGGACTTGTGGACTTGATTCAATTTACTTAATTGAACTTGAACCAAAATGAATTCAATTCTAATTGAAATGAACTAGAACATGATTGAACTCAAGGGACTGCAGTGGACTTGAACTCATTTTTAACTCGGACTTGAACTCTACAAGACAGCAGGGGACTACTTGAACTCAAATGAGTTGAACAAAGAACTAGAACATGACTTGAACAATTTGAAAATTCAAGGGAACTTGATTTTGCAAGCATTTGGGACTTGAACTTGCAAATGACACAATATAACTACAAGGACTTGACTTGGACATTTAAACTCAAGTAAAGACTTGAGTGGACTTTGAACTTGAACTCAAAAGAGCTTGATGCAATGAGTTTTGACTTGAAACTTGAATCATAACATTAAGCTCTTAAAGGTTAAAGAATTGTCATTGTAATATAAATACAAGTGCTAATCAAAGGGGGGGGGGTGATCCATCTGAATTTCATCCAAGCAAGCAAACAATCACCCATTACAAGCTTTGGTATAAAGCTTATTTGAGCAATTATAATTAGCCTACAATGATCATCTCAATTGAATGGAGGAATGCAATGTATTCGCAAGCAATTTTAGATGAGTTGTAATGAATAGAAAAATTCCTATGGTAGTTGAGGATTCATCAAGAGTAATGGAATCACTATCAATTCTTGTCAAGCCATAATACTTCCATGAAGCTTCGGAATAAATGGAGGGCTCTTATGCTACAAAATGCAAACATCAACATGCAAACAATATTCTTACTACAAATGAGGATGCACAAAATAAAATTAATGCAATGACTGCCATGAAGTCCCTACAAGTGATATTTATACAAAATCAATGTGGTATGCCCAAAGGTGAAGTAAGAGAATTATGAAGGATACAACCCACCCTCTTTCTATCAATGTTGAAATACATCAATCCTATCTACAAGCTACGACAGAAGATGTATCAAAGGCTTAATGGATCTTCTACCTACAAGGGAGAATATCACAGTGAATGCAAGCTCCTACGAACTATTGTAGGAGATCTATTCTACACCCAATATACTGTTTACAACAAAATACAAAAATGATTGTATCAAATGCAAGATCCTACGAGTCATTGTGGGAGACCCGTTGTATACCCCATCTATTGTCCATAAGC